CTTTCTTTCTTTTGCCGTTCGAGGTCTGTTTTATTTTCCTTCTCTTTCGTTTTTGCTAGTCTCTTCTACCTTTTTCCTATATTTCTTCATTTTCTTTTTTTTTTTCTTCTTCTTCTTCTTCTTCTTCTTCTTCTTCTTCTTCTTCTTCTTCTTTTGCTGCTGTTGCTAATGCTTCTTTATTTCTTTCTTTCTTTCTCTCTTTTGCCGTTCCGAGGTCTGTTTTATTTTCCTTCTCTTTCGTTTTTGCTAGTCTCTTCTACCTTTTTCCTATATTTCTTCATTTTTCTTTTTTTTCTTCTTCTTCTTCTTCTTCTTCTACTTCTTCTTCTTCTTCTTTTGCTGCTGTTGCTAATGCTTTTTTTTTATCTTTCTTTCTTTCTTTCTTTTGCCGTTCCGAGGTCTGTTTTATTTTCCTTCTCTTTCGTTTTTGCTAGTCTCTTCTACCTTTTTCCTATATTTCTTCATTTTTCTTTTTTTTTCTTCTTCTTCTTCTTCTTCTTCTTCTTCTTTTGCTGCTGTTGCTAATGCTTCTTTATTTCTATCTTTCTTTCTTTCTTTCTTTCTTTTGCCGTTCCGAGTTCTGTTTTATTTTCCTTCTCTTTCGTTTTTGCTAGTCTCTTCTACCTTTTTCCTATATTTCTTCATTTTTTGTTTTTTTCTTCTTCTTCTTCTTCTTCTTCTTCTTCTTCTTCTTCTTCTTCTTCTTTTGCTGCTGTTGCTAATGCTTCTTTATTTCTTTCTTTCTTTCTTTCTTTTGCCGTTCCGAGGTCTGTTTTATTTTCCTTCTCTTTCGTTTTTGCTAGTCTCTTCTACCTTTTTCCTATATTTCTTCATTTTCTTTTTTTTTCTTCTTCTTCTTCTTCTTCTTCTTCTTCTTCTTTTTTTGCTGCTGTTGCTAATGCTTTTTTTCTTTTCTTTCTTTCTTTCTTTTGCCGTTCCGAGTTATGTTTTATTTTCCTTCTCTTTCGTTTTTGCTAGTCTCTTCTACCTTTTTCCTATATTTCTTTATTTTCTTTTTCTTCTTCTTCTTCTTCTTCTTCTTCTTCTTCTTTTGCTGCTGTTGCTAATGCTTCTTTATTTTTATCTTTCTTTCTTTCTTTCTTTTGCCGTTCCGAGGTCTGTTTTATTTTCCTTCTCTTTCGTTTTTGCTAGTCTCTTCTACCTTTTTCCTATATTTCTTCTTTTTCTTTTTTTCTTCTTCTTCTTCTTCTTCTTCTTCTTCTTCTTCTTTTTTGCTGCTGTTGCTAATGCTTCTTTATTTCTATCTTTCTTTCTTTCTTTCTTTCTTTTGCCGTTCCGAGGTCTGTTTTATTTTCCTTCTCTTTCGTTTTTGCTAGTCTCTTCTACCTTTTTACTATATTTCTTCTTTTTCTTTTTCTCCTTTTCTCCTTTTCTTCGACTATATTCTGACTTTTTCTTCCTCTTTTTCTACTTCTCTATTATATCATTTTTCTTCTTTATCCTCCTCCTCCTCCTCATCATCATCATCATCACCATCACCTTTATTATTTCATTCTTATTCTCTACTCTCTCATCTCTTCCTACTTTATTTCTTTTTCTTATCTATTCTTTCATTATTCTCCTCCTTTTCCCTTTCTTAAATGTTTGCTGCCTTCTTAGAATTATTGATTCTTCGTCTTCTTCTTTTTATTCTTCTTCTTATTTTTATTATTCTAGATCTTCTTCTTCTTCTTCTAGATCTGATTTTTCTTCTTCTTCTTGATTTTCTTCTTCTTCTTCTTCTAGATCTGATTTTTCTTCTTCTTCTTGATTTTCTTCTTCTTCTTCTTCTAGATCTGATTTTTCTTCTTCTTCTTGATTTTCTTCTTCTTCTTCTTCTAGATCTGATTTTTCTTCTTCTTCTTGATTTTTTCTTCTTCTTCTTCTAGATCTGATTTTTCTTCTTCTTCTTGATTTTCTTCTTCTTCTTCTTCTAGATCTGATTTTTCTTCTTCTTCTTGATTTTCTTCTTCTTCTTCTTCTAGATCTGATTTTTCTTCTTCTTCTTGATTTTCTTCTTCTTCTTCTTCTAGATCTGATTTTTCTTCTTCTTCTTGATTTTCTTCTTCTTCTTCTAGATCTGATTTTTCTTCTTCTTCTTGATTTTCTTCTTCTTCTTCTTCTAGATCTGATTTTTCTTCTTCTTCTTGATTTTCTTCTTCTTCTTCTTCTAGATCTGATTTTTCTTCTTCTTCTTGATTTTCTTCTTCTTCTTCTTCTAGATCTGATTTTTCTTCTTCTTCTTGATTTTCTTCTTCTTCTTCTTCTAGATCTGATTTTCTTCTTCTTCTTGATTTTCTTCTTCTTCTTCTTCTAGATCTGATTTTTCTTCTTCTTCTTGATTTTCTTCTTCTTCTTCTTCTAGATCTGATTTTTCTTCTTCTTCTTGATTTTCTTCTTCTTCTTCTTCTAGAAATAATTCTTCTTCTTTTTGATTTGATTATTCTTCTTCATTCTGTCATTCCTTTTTTATTCTCTATTCTTCATCTTCTCTTTTCTGTAATCATTTTTTTCTTCCTCTCTGTTCTTTCATTTTTTTTCTATTCTCTATTCTCTCGTACTTCTTCATCTTCATTTGTTTTCCGTAGGTCTTTTTTTCTTCTTCATCCATTCTGTCATTCCCTGGTTTATTCTTTATTCTCTCAATCTTCTTCGTTCCCTTCTCTATTCTGTTATTCTTCTTCAAATTCTTCTTCAACTATTACTACTACTACTAGTACACTATGTTATTTGTTCTCTTTCTCTTCTCTTGCACTTCCGCTGTTTTCCCACAAGCATTGCCTCTTCTTCTTCTTCTTCTTCTTCTTCTTCTTCTTCTTCTTCTTCTTCTTCTTCCACTTATTATTTCCTATTGTTTAGTTCCTCTTCCTTTCACCCGCACCACCTCCTTTATTTTTATTATTAGCAGTAGCAGTCGATGTCATCTTCCTCTACGACGTCTTTGAGTTCATTACTTTACAGATGATGATAAAACCCCATCTACTTTAAAGCCCTTCCATTTCTTTCTTAACCAGCTCCTTCCTTTTTGGTATGCCCGATTCTCCTCTTTTGCCCAAACCCATCACTTCGTCCAATAAACCAGTCGCACTATCGTCATTCTAATCTATATTTGACCTTCATTCTTCTTTTGGGAATTTGTGCTTCTCTCGTCTTCAATTTGTGCTTCTCTCGTCTTCCTCCGTTTCGAATTATTTCCCTTCCACGTTCTGTCTTTTTCCCTTCCGTTTTTTTTATTCTCTTTCGTTCCTCCTGTTCCCTTTTCGAGCAATTTATCAACTATCTCACCCTCACTGCCACATGCCACCCACGCGCCTCGCCTCTTGACGGAATATTCGCTTAGATCGACGCCTGTCAGGACCTTGTCTTCTTAACTCAATTAAACCGGCACTAATGTTTCTTCCTCGGAAGGTTACTCGTCCCTGGCAAAGTTGGCTTTGACTTCGCCAATGAAAAATCTAAAAAAGTCCTTCATCTTCAGATATAGGCACGCAGACAGCTGACAAGGATACTCCTGCAAATGTGATTTTTAAAAAAATTAAATGTGTACGCGATTTAATGCTCAAGAGCCTCTCAAGGTTTAACTTGAATTGAATTTTTATATGGACGTAAGAATTATAAATCATGATTTCTTTTTTTTAAGCGTTTCACTCCAAGCAAGGCGAGAAGCCACTAGGACGCAAGGGGTTACAGAAAATTTGGAGCAAGATCAGATAGGAGTGATAGAAGAAAGGATGAGGAGAAGGGTAGTGGATAGATCAAGGCAACTGGAGATGTCGATTGACATTACACTTGAATAGCTGGAGATTATAGCTCTCAGGGAAACTGGAATAGGGAAGGGAGTTCCACAGGCGAGAGGTGCGAGACATGGAGCTATTGGAGTAGAAGAGACGGTTACATTTAGGAGTTTCGACAGTGAAAGGGTGAGAGCGGGATGCAAGCCTCGTAGGGCGCTTGAACTCATGAAGTCTAGGAATCGGCGAATTCAGCTTCTCGGAGCAATTGCCATGAAAGTATTTGTAAAACAGACAGAGAGAGGCGACGGCGCGTCTGTGAGAAAGTGACTGTAGACGAGATGCTAGATCAGGGACAATTATATTGCATATCCGTCTCTGGAGCCTATCAAGAACCCCGAGGCAAACAGAAGGGGCTCCAGACGATATATGGCAGCAATACTCCATGCAAGGGCGAATTGTTGATTTGTAGATCTGGAGGATCGATTCCGGGGAGAAAAATTTCCTGGCGCGGCACAGGGAGCCAACTTTCCTTACGGTGGATGAAGCAATTGACTCAATGTATTTGTTCCCTCTCAGGTCAGCAATCAACGTGAGACCGAGCAGCCGCAGAGAGTTGCTCTCGAGAAGTTGAGCGTCAGACATTCTAATGGAGGGCAGGGATCTCTGTCGTGATTACCGTAATTCCCCATGTATCATACGACTTCATCAATGATACGCACACCTAAAATTGTGCTGAAAGTGTGGGAAAATGTTTCTACTCATGCATAATGCGCAACCCATGTTTGGTAATCAAACCTTATAAATTGTACCTCTCCAATTTAATTACGTCCAGCTTTTCTGACTCTTATTTAAAAAATGATTTTAAAAATAGAATAATATTATTCTAATTTAGTTTTATGATAATTCTTATTTTATTTTACGGCAATTTTTAAAATATATTTTGTAGCTGTTCATAATACGCACCCTTGATTTTGCGTATTATTTTTTAGAAAAAATGCGTATTATACATGGGGGATTGCGAGCTGATTGCATGGTTGATTTGTTTTTCACAGTTTATCAAGCCTTTTGCAGACTAAAGCTAGAAAATATTTTTAGATTTTAAGAAATTTTTAATAAATAATTATTTTTACAGATACAAGAATTACTAATTAACCCATAGCGGGACACATGGATTTATAACTTTCCAAAGATTATTTGCGCGTAAATGAATATGACGAACTTGACAATACGATTTCCAATTCTGAGCAGTTAGCCATTACACAACACTTACAGCACCTGATTTTCCCTAGCGGTCACCCATCTAGGTACTAACAAGGCTTGACGTTGCTTTACTTTGTGGCTCATACGGGAACCGCTGTTTCAATGTGATATGGCTGTGAGCCTATTTTAACATTGTTTCGGAGAGAAAACAGCGATATAAACTCATTCTATATATATATATATATATATATATATATATATATATATATATATATATATATATAAACATTTACATTGGTATATGCAAGTTAATAAATATATTTTTTATAATACTAATATTAGTATTAGCAATAGATATTTATTAGCTTGCATGTACCAATTTAACAGTTTAGAATATATATATATATATATATATGTGTGTGTGTGTGTGTGTGTGTGTGTGTGTGTGTGTGTGTGTGTGTGTGTGTGTGTGTGTGTGTGCAGATATATGGATATAGGTCCGACAGTATGAAGAAAGATATACAGAAAAAACAAACAAATATCCTAATATAATATGACATTATATTAACATTAAAAAAAAGCATAATTGCATATTAGGATTTTTGTTTGTTTTTTCCGTATATTTTTTTCTTCATATATATATATATATATATATATATATATATATATATATATATATATATATATATATATATATATATATATATAATAATGGAGTCTCCCGTTGGTTTCGACGTATGAGGATCTGACAGCTTAATTGTTTCAGTTATGAAAGTTTAGTGGCCTCCTTTGTAAATTACTAGCGGGTCTTAAGCGGCACGTAAGACCCGCTAGTAATTTACAAAGGAGGTTACATATGGCGCAAGAGTGAGGGATGAGATCACTGTTAAATTGGCTGGCATTTTAGATCTTGCTCTCGCTCCTTGAAGACGATTCAAGATTGTAATTAAAAACTGCTGAGTCAACTAAAACACGTTGATCTTCAGTCTGACCGCTCCAAGGCTAATCGCTCAAGGGTGTTATATGGTAGATTGACAGCTGACAAGTTATAAGTATGAATCGACAGAAAACCCACACAAGTGATTTGATTAAAGTGGTGAAGGCTTGTGCAGAACCATCCACACTTTTCGGAACTATTGATACACTCAGTCGGTGCCAATAAATGTCACAGACGAAGCAGACAATAGACCACAGGCTTTTCGTGTACGAGTTTTCCATCTCCTAGACCAGTCGTGTTCCATTACACTAAAGTGCTTGTTCAGCCCCGGTAGGCACTATTTGCCCATAGCTGGGACCCTAATAGGTGCTACCACCACGAATATCTATCTATCTATCTATCTATCTATCTATCTCTCTCTCTCTCTCTCTCTCTCTCTCTATATATATATATATATATATATATATATATATATATATATATATATATATATGTGTGTGTGTGTGTGTGTATACTATAAACTGTTAGATTGGTACATGCAAGATAATAAATATCTATTGCTAATACTAATACTAGTTACTAAATAATTATTGCTACAAAATATATATTAATGTTATTAACTTATATTCTTTTCGTTCTTTTACTTATATATATATATATATATATATATATATGTGTGTGTGTGTGTGTGTGTGTGTATGTGTGTGTGTGTGTGTGTGTGTGTGTGCGTAAGCAGATATATGGATATAGGTCCGACTGTATAAAGAAAGATATACGGAAAAAACAAACAAATATCCTAATATAATATGACATTATATTAACATTAAAAAAGCATAATTGCATATTAGGATTTTTGTTTGTTTTTTCGTATATTTTTCTTCATATTTATAACTTACTCTATATCTATATATCTATCTGTTATAATTATTTTTTTAAAAATAGGATTCCTTCGCTACATAAGGTTTCTCATGTTTCAAAAACGAGAGCCGAAAGCCTCAATATAATTATTAAAATTAAATTGAGTATCAAGCCCTGTTTCATCCTCAAGCGAAAATTTAGGAATAACCAATCTTGAAATTTACGCATCTAAATACTAAAGAACTCAGGATTATTTACCTAACGTGTTCTTTCCTATTTTTCTACATATCTTCACACACACACACACACACACATACACACACACACACACACACACACACACACACACATACATATATATATATATATATGAAAAGATAGGTGTTTTATACTTTCCATTTGATATATTTGAGAAAAGGCTTTGCTTTTTTTTATTAAACAGTATTAATTACATTTACCGGCCTGAAAGTTCAAGAATTTTTCGTAGAAAATATGTGACCTTCGACAGGAATCGAACCTGTATCTCATATGGAAACCTGACGTGCTGTTAAACATTTAGTCACAGTGAACTTTCCGGCTAGCAAAGTTCAAATTACTGCTTATAAACATACATTTTTCTCGATAATTCCTTTCTGCCTCGAACGAAAACAATATATGTTATTTTATAGGCAGTAGTTTGGACTTTTTATAACTGGAAAATTCCCTGTGGCTGAATGGTTAACAGCATGTCAGGCTAACTGAGGGTTTCCGGATGGGATAAAGGTTCGATTCTTGTCGGAGAACGGATATTTTTCTAGGAAATTTCTCGAACATTCAGTCCGGTAAATGTAATTAATGCTGTTTAATTAAAAAAGAGCATTTACTTAAATAAATTGTATCCATAGAAAAAAGAAGCTACAAACAGAAAATACATTAAAATATTTCACGGATTTAATTCATTTCAAATATGTTGTCATTGTCTGCGTTATGTCACGTTTCCGGGCAGAAATGAGTTATCGAGAAAAGTTCGTTGAAGGTGTGTGTTTAAGAGCAGTAGTTTGGAATTCTGCTAACCGGAAAGTTGTCTGTGGTTCAATGGTTAACAGTACATCAGTCTATACGACCGTTTCCGTATGGCATACAGGTTCGACTCCTGCCGGAAAACGCATATTTTCTACAGAATTCTTGAACATTCAGTCCGGTAAATGTAATTACTACTGTTTAATTAAAACTTCATTTACTCAAATAAAGTGTATCCATAAAAATAACGTATAAACAGAATAAATATATATATATATATATATGCGTGTTTTTGTGTGTGTGAGAGAGAGAGAGAGAGAGGGAAAGACTTTTAACTTTGAAAAAACAAACTCCTCACTAAAATTAAGATACGAGCAACTGATCATTAACGAAATCGATTTCCATGAAGTTCATATAGTGATTTTCCAAGCGTAGCTTGGATGTGGCACCCAGTGTGGATCGAACTCACTACTCAGTCGTAATTGTTCTAGCGAAACAAAGTTGTTAACCATTAGGCCACTTCGAGGCGCCCACGTGAAGTTTATATTGAAGTAAAATCAAATGTATTTATGTCATTATGTCTATAACTACAGAATGAACTCTTCCTAACATTATGTATACTACGCCTCTCAAGAGAGAGGGTCGAATCGAGCCGAGCTTCTCGACTTGACGGTCGAACTCTCTGCCTCTGAGCAGAGAGGAACCCGGACGAGGCTACGCCGAAGGGCAGAGTCTCGTTCGGGGAGGTTGACCAACCCGATCCCGTCTATACGCGTTCTACGGGCATTTATTTGGCCCAGACTACAAGCTCGGGAAACCCACTTTAAACTCAGCCTTGTGCCACATGCAACCCTCGTGGTGGGGTGGGGGCTAGATACCGAATCGAGTCGAGCCGATAGTCGTTCACTCCAAACCAGACTGACAGTCATACTAACACCTTCCACATCTTCTATTATTATTTCGTGTAATATACCTTCGTTATTTCTACTCTTGTGTTCGTGTTGTTCTTCCTTGGTCCTAACCTGAACCATAACAATTTACAACCTACTTGTTAAAAAAACAAACAAACAAAAAAAAAAAAAAAACACCAGGGACGAACTCTTGTCTTCTAAACTAATATATCAGATTGCCTTGCAAGATATCAAATAGAAGGTATAAATATTTAAAAAAAAAAAAAAGAAAATTCCTGATTATAGCTTATCTAAATTCTTCTTTCCAGAGAATATTTCTGAGTGAACTCAAGCGCATAAAGCAAACATTAACTGATATTTTTTTCACAACTACATCATTGATAATCAAATAAAATTATTCTTACTAAAAATACAATACAAAAAACATCAACATACATATTTGATTGTAACCAGATGCACAATAATTACAAGTACGGCGAATTCCCCGTGCAACAAAACATTAAACACCATATTTCAACAATATATCCCGCCCACAAAAGTTAAAACTTGTAATATATTGCAGAAAATGCAAACCAACCAAACATGTCGTCACAAATCAAAATAACCCTATTAAATCTAAACTAGCGATGGCCAATAGAATGTATCAGTTTATCTTCCCAGTACAAGACTGTCTTCTTGCCATAAATCAATTAGCTATATCGGTCATACCACTACCTCCTTGACCAGACGCCTCACGTGTCACTTATCTGACCATAGTGCCATAAAAATGCATTTAGCCACCCAAGAAAGGAGACTCTGGTTAATAATACAATTATTCTTCATAGGATCCACACCCGAAGATTGTCAGTGAAGCCCTCTACATAAAATATCTGTAAATGGGTATTAATCTTGCCGTATTTAATAATGGAAATAATGTGTTAAATTTATTTTGTTATTTTTTTTTTTAAATAGAAAAAACCCAAATCGAATTCCAGCCAGGTTCCTTTCGTAGGGCTGGGGATATACGCTACAACTATATAGGCATACAAAAACTATCTTAAACAGGAAAATAAATTCGCAGCACATAACAAATTTTCTAAAATTGCTAAAAATATATCCGAAAGATCAATGACAATAAACACTAAGTACAATTTCCACACTCCCTTACACCCACAAAAAAGGCATAAAATTTTACTTGATTAGTTTTGTTTGTTTTGTTTTACGACATATCAACACATTAATGGGTTATTTAATGCAGACAAGGTTAGTTTTGTTTTACGGCATATCAACCTCAATGGGTTATATAATGTAGACAAGGTTTGTTTTGTTTTGTTTTACGACATATCAACACATCAATGGGTTATTTAATGCCGACAAGATTTTTATTGCTAGTAATATTTTTTTTCAAAAATATATTGCTGCTAATATTTTTTTCCAAAAACTGTATTGCTGATAATTTTTATCTACAAAAAATGTATTACTGGTAATCTTC